TCTTTGAGGTTATTATTAAATGAGATGCTGCTGACTGGTGGCAGCAGCAAATTTAGCTGTCAGGTGATTACATTTGGAAAACAAATCAGTGCAGCAGGAGCTTTATGAGCAAAATGAAGAAATTGGCTAAAATCAGAAAAAATGTTCATGTGACACTCACTGCTGACTAAAAATAAATGATCATCTGACAGTTTGTGCTGAATACACACTGTAAAAAATGAAATGCTGGATTTACTTAACCATGTTATGTTACCTGGTTCCACTTAACTGGTATATTGCTTTGAATTTACTCAACTCAGTTAAGTGGAACCAGGTAACATAACATGGTTAAGTAAATCCAGCATTTCATTTTTTACAGTGTGTATTCAGCACAAACTGTCAGATGATCATTTATTTTTAGTCAGCAGTGTCACATGAACATTTTTTTCTGATTTTAGCCAATTTCTTCATTTTGCTCATAAAGCTCCTGCTGCACTGATTTGTTTTCCAAATGTAATCACCTGACAGCTAAATTTGCTGCTGCCACCAGTCAGCAGCATCTCATTTAATAATAACCTCAAAGATTTACCCCAAAACCACCTCACATCCAGTGATATAGGAGCTCCTACACCTTAAAATGAGTCTTCTTACAGAAATTAAAGGTGCTCCAGCTAAAACAGGAGAAAAATCCCTCCTCTCCTGAGCAGCACAGTCCAGGTTGCGTCACTCTGCTAATGGTGCTGCTTCTAATCYGCTGTTCCAGCTGCACTGGCTCTGCAGGAGAAACCGGGCCGTCAGGGATTTGTCAAAGGCCTGTTATTACATCTCTAGTCACATAAAATATGGCTGCCTCTCCAGAGATCCGACTGCCAGATAAATCCTCTCTCCTCCAACCGGGCAGGGCCCTGGCGATGAAACCATCCAATGACGCACCTCGGCCCGGTGACCTCTGGTAATGACATGTGATTTATACAGTACAAGTTTTAAAGACACACGTCGCTCCTTCTCTCTCTGCATCCATATCTGGTGTCAGGAGAGATAACTGGCGGGCCTGCAGGAGAGGGGAGATGTGACACCCATCTATGGGGCTCTGGTGTTACGGCTGCAGTGGGGACAGTTTCCCCTGCAGCTGTCTGATGGCAGCGCCGGCCTGCAGTGTGTCTTCCTGCAGGAGGTCGCTCACATATAAAACTGCACGATGGGCCCACAGACCGCAGAGAGGAGGGCTTTAATCAACACCTGGTTGGGAACAAACAGACATTCTGGGGATTCTCAACATGGAGTGACACGTTTAACAAGTGAGGAGCTGCAGGATTTTAGGCTTTCTGAGCAACAGCTCCAAAAAWCCATTAATGTTAATTAAAATGACAAACATGTCACTGAATGTTGGCAAACAGAACCAGAAGAAGCATGAAAACAGGGTCATTTAGTCTGACTTTATGGATGGAGTTCACCCTGGAGAAGAGTTTGAGGCAGAGGATGTTGTTGACCTTGAAAAACACAAACATGATGAAAAAAAAAACACAACAAATATTTGTTTTTATTACACAATTTAAAAACCTTCTTTCTCTGAAAACTTAATTCTGAATTTATTTTTATTATTTATAAAAAAACATAAATGCAGCTGAGAATAAATCTGTTTGAAGCATTTTTAT